AGGAAGGAGAGGGGGAAGGGAAGAAAAAAGATGAAGGGGAGGGAGAGGGAGAAGCAGAGAAAGGAGAGGAGGAAGCAGAGGAGGAAGGAGAAGGGGAAGGGAGTGAAGGAGAGGAAGAAGGAGAGGGGGAAGAAGAAGAAGGAGAAGCGGGGGAAGCAGGGGAGGAGGAAGAAGAGGGGGAAGCAGAGGAGGAGGAAGAAGAGGGGGAAGCAGGGGAGGAAGGAGAGGGGGAGGGAGAAGAGGAAGGAGAGGGAGAAGAGGAGGTAGGGGAGGAAGAAGAAGGGGAGGAGGGGGAAGGAGAGGGGGAGGAGGAGGAGGAGGAGAAAGAAGGGGAGGAGGACCCGGAAGGGGAGGGGGAGGGGGAGGGGGAAGAAGCAGAGTGGAGGGAGAGGGAGGGGGAAGAGGAGGACACCGAGGAAGAAGGGGGGAAATCCGAGGAGGCAGGAGATGAAGAGAGTGAAAAGCAGGGAAGACCGGGTGAAGGAAAAGAGTCCAACAAAGCGGGCAAAATCAGAGGGTCTGTGAAATGTGACAAAGATAAGGCGTACCCTCCAAAGTTCATTCCTAACACCGAGGGAAAGGGGCAGGAGCATGAGGTCCAGAGGTCCAGAATGCCAGTGCGGTCAAAACAACCTTTAGAAAATGGGCCACCGGGTTCCAAAAGATTCTGGAATAATGTATTACCACATTATCTAGAATTGAAGTAACAAACTTTAATTTTGAAAGTTTGTTAAACTTCTTAAATTTTTAAAAATTTAAATTTTAAATTTAACAAACTTTACATTTGAAACTGTTGGCCAGCCAACAGTTTGAGCACCTTACACGTAATAGGCACTTAATATGTTTTATTAAACTGCTTTTTTTGTCATGGTTACTTTATGTGTGGTACAGTGGAGACTGATAAAGACAACACAAAGCACTGGCAAATTTGGCTCCTCTTAAACTAATGTTTTGGTATATTTTGCCCCCAAATTATAAATCTGTCACTAGAAAATATCAAAAGGTCATCGCAGATAATTAACATTATATATTCCTCATTAAAGACAGAGTTAGGAAATAGTATACTATAAGAATGTTGCATTTGTATATACACACTGGTCCCTTTAAAGATGGCACGGTGGATCCTTCAGGGCTCTAAAAACATCTCATTTCTTGTGAATTTCTTTTGGTCTCTGATTTCAGTTGGCCCTACTACATAGAATAATTTTATAAGGTGGATGGTACTGTAAAGCCAAAATGAAGAATTCACATTTTAAAAAAAATAGTGCTGTTTTTTTTTTTTACCTTTCATGTGTCCTTTTTGCAACAGTCTACCAAGGGTCAGCTGGATTCAGAGCTTAGATCTTAACGTGATGTCTTTTAGTTACTGTCCAGACAAATGGCAGTATATCTCATGAAATGGAGGTGAACCTAAACATATATTCGGGAAGTATGTAAAACTTGTAGGTATTTATTAGCCAGGCAGAGCTCCTCACTGGGGTTCAGTTTCCTCATGTGTAAAATGGAGCGGATTAGATGATAGAACTATAGTCCCTCCTAACTCTCAGATTCTTTTGTTCTAACAGGCTCATTTATTCCCATTGTGTTTGTCATTTGCATAAAAGTTTTTTAAGTTAGAAGAAAAATCGCACTTTAAAATTGAGTTTTCTATAAATTATGTATTGTTCTTTACTCTTAAAAACTTAGGAAGAGCTTTAATGTATCTTGTCTTTGTCATTCTGTTTTTCTAAACTATAACTTCTGAGCTTTAACTGTATTATCAGAATCGTCATTCCCAGTGTCTTATTATGTACCCTCAGTGTGTTCTTCATTGACTATTCTGTAATTCTGTTTGTTGCTTGTCAGACTGTTTCAAGTAAAATAAAATGTAAATGTATACCATCAGTAATTGTTTGTGGAAAGAGAAACTAACACTAGATACTGAATTTTCGAGAGGCTAGATTTTGATTAGCGTAAATTCAATCGTCCCTTAAAATTTTCAGTATTTTTCATACAGCTAGATCATTTGACTGTTCTTTATTCACAGCTCCCTTTTCAACTGGTTTCCCGCCCCAGTCCCTTCCATATCTTGGGCGTGAGGGATTTCTTCTCCTTTTAAGCGAGGAGAATCGGAATGGGAAACTTCCTGGGGATTTTGTGTAGTTGAATCCTTCGCACATTTGATTCTCTGTGAGAAAGAATATGGGCCGAGAGACTAGAATACAAAGAGAAGAAAACTCCTAGGAGCAACTGTAGGTTTTGTTTTAGCTTCAGGGATCTCCGGTAGCTTCCGCTAACTAACCAAACACGCTAATTTGGCATTGCAGGGTTCTACCAAATTCTGCCACATTCAGTGACGGTCAGCGAAACGGAATTGGTACTTTGATCAAGTGTTTGCGCTGTGTTGTCAAAGCTAGGGCCCGACATGTTTATTTAAAACGTTGGCTTAAAGTGATTCACTGAGATGAACAGTAGAATGGAGGTCATAAAGGAAAAGCCTTCAGGGAGAAAAGAAACTCTTAACCCCTAAAGTTGTTAAAGTCAAAGGTGAGACCTCACCAGCCAGCAACACTGAAATGGTGTTCTGAGCATGTGCCCGTCTCAGTATTTGAGCTGGCCTTAGCCACTTTTAAACAGCATTTCCTACCCATTTCTTCACATTTCCCTGGCCAACCAAAGTGTCGTATGCTCTTTTTGAAGCAGTAGCTCGGGCAGGCATAGTGTTCTGGTCAAGAGCACGGGCCTCGTCATTTTGAGATGTGAGTTAGTACTTGGTAGAACAGATCGGAATAACTGGTTCCTTCTTTATTGTCCCCATCTGCTGGTGGATCAAGCTTTTATTGTAGTTTCTCACTGGTTATTACTGAGGCCAGCGTGAGGGGTGTGTGTGTAGAATCCGTTGAGTTACAGTTTCAAATGAGGACTCTGGCAGAAAAATATTTTCAGGTAAGCTACAAAGGAGTATCACAGAAACATCTGCTGCTGCCGAACCAGCAGCTCTTGAGGTGAGTGCAATGGAATGTTTTCTGTAATGGCATTCTAGAGGTCAACTTGCTGTGCACGTATACATTCAAGATAAAATGCTACCACAGAGGAAGGTGCTGTGCTTCCTTCTTCCCTCATTCTTCCCAATGTCCCTGACCTGTAACTTAATATCTGGTACATACTATTCCCTCAACAAATAAGCATGTACATACATAGCGATCACCCAAAAGGGAATGGAAGCTTTCCCAAATCAGGGAGAGCTCAAGAAACGAGGACCGCTTACAGGCAGCCTCCTGTGGCCCTTTTACCCGTCAGGGACATTAGGTGGGTACAGATGTCTTGAAAGGACACCAGGTAAAAGGAGTTCCCATGGCCCTGCCTTTAACTATGACTTAACAATGCCCTTTAGTTACCTGATATATTCCCCCACCCCGACTCCCGTGTTCTTTTTAGCCAGGGCTACCCGAAGATAAAAAATATGATCTGAAAACAAATCTTTTGCTTTCCTTCATGAAGTCCCTTAATTAAGAAGACAGTGGTTTTGTGCCTTGAGTGTGCCGAGAGTAAGATACAGTTCCCGATCTCAGGGGACTCTTGGCTGTTTCTATAGGCTGACCAGAAACTTTACGCAGACAATAGAGCGTCTCAGGAGTGGCACTTCAGCGGCCACTTCTGCACTTCAGCAGAGAGGGGCTAGGAAAGGGCTTCCAGGGAGCAACGGGGAAATGTCAGCTGAGTCGTGAGAAGTAAAAGCTAGCCGTGCAAGCGGCAGGGGCAAGGTTTTCCCAGGTGATGGGGAGCCCTGAGAGTGTTTCAGTGTGACCACAACTTAGAGTGTCTTTTGGTTCTGGGTAGAGAGGCAAAGGACCTTAATGTGTTTCTGAAAGATCTTAAACAGCAAGAGTAAGGTGATCACACTTGGGTTTTTGTAACGGTCTGGCAGCAATAGGGAGGGTGGGTTGGAGAGGAACAAGACCAGAACCAGGGGTGCCAGTTAGGAGACAGCTCGAGGAGAGCAGGCAGAAACAGAAGAGGGGACTAGACAGTGTGGACAGAGAGTTGGGGACATGTGTTATCAAGAGAGCTTTAGGGATAGAACCGGAGGGCTTAGTAAAGAGATGCAACCTGGAGGGAGAGAAAAGGCCAAGCTTTTCTTGTTTCTGTGTGAAGAGCCGGGTGGAAAGGGCACCATTGGCCAAGGCTGAGAACAGGAGTAGGGGCAGGTTTAGGAGCCTGCTTGGGCTTGTTGACCCAGGAGATGTTCAGCAGACAGATACCTGTGTGGGCCTGGAACTCAGGGGAGATTGCTGGGTATCGCCAGCTTTTAGGGGTCATTAAAACCATGGAGTTGAGTGAGAGGCAGCACTCATGGTACGAGAAGAAGAGAACTGAAGACAGAGTTTGAGGAAACCTCAGTAGCTAATGGGGAGGTTGAGAAACGGAAGTCCGAGAAGGAGGCGGTGTAGGGACACTTTCTAGGAAAGAGAGGTACCACCCAAGCCAAGGAAGGCATGGTGGAGGGCTGCAGAGAGGTCTGGGAGAGGCCCAGCAGAAGGCTGGCCAGAGCCCACATTGCCAGCAAAGAGGGAGCTCCAGGAAGGCCGCCTTAGAGTCAGGGACTCTGATGCCCTGGGGGAAAACACCTTAGAATTGCACTTGCTATTACTATATACAAGGGTACGTAAGCACAGGATGTTGTCGAAGTGAGCTGATCAGCAGAAAGGAAGAGACTACAGAGCGGTCAGTTTCAGTGTGGTGGCGGGGTGGTGGTGGGGAGAGGGGGGATCAGCCCTGAGGGCACCTGTTCTGGTCTTCACGTATTTGAGCAGAGCCGGGAAAGAGCCTGGGCCCTGGCCCCCAGTAGGCCTGGATTCACACCCCAGCCCTTCACAGATTAGCTGTGTGGACACATGGAAAAACTTTTCTTTTTTTTTTAAACCTTTCTGAGTCTTCTTTCTTTCTTTTTTTAAAGGGAGGGGTCTTTGGATAGTTAAGTAACACCTGAAACATGTTAGAGGTACTCAGCAAATGGTAACCCGTGTCCCTCTAATTAACCCCTCTGACCACATCAAGTCAGGTACAGAACTACCCTCAGGAATCTCCAGGTCACTGACAGATGTGCGTTGAGTCTAGTCATGTGAACCTGACTTCTGTTTAAGTACAACATAGCTGCCCCCTCCCCAAAATTGGCTTATGGAAGTAGATCTGTGGGAATGAAGTGAGTAACAATAATGATAACCCCCTTAAATACGGGGTAGAGTAAAAGTCTGCACACCATACGTGGGTCCAGTACTGTCCCTCAACGTTTGAAGCGTGGTGAAAGGCTGATGGTACGGGACAACAGATTGCCCTGTGTCCTAATGTTTTTATCAAAATAGGTTAAAAAATAACTCAAACATAAAGAGTAAAACTGCCTACCAGCAAGAAGTTTGTATCCTCAGCATTGTAGCCACTTTTGCAGGCCTGCTTACAAGAGTCAAACTGGAATGGATTTTGTGGCAAAAATACCAGATTAGGAATGAACTAAGGGGTTGGTACATAGAAAGGAGGAGGAGTTTAGAGATTGTAAAGTAGTGACATTAGACCGCAATAATTGGGAGGTCAAACTGGGAGCCCTTCGGTGCAACCTGGCTTGCAGACTCACTTTGCTTGGTATACACAGTGATTCTGGTAACGCTTGAATCCATTGCCAACACTGAAATACCGGGAAGCTTTATACTGTAACAGTCTTTTCTGGGCTTGA